TGAGATAACAGACACATAAGGAGGCTGCCAGATATCGAAACAAGTCACTTCCATACTATGACCTATTGGCAGAACTCTTTATAGGTACAAGAGCAACTGGTGATTATGCTCGTACAGGGTAGCAAGAGTCGAGAGCTGAGCAACAAGGTAGCTGAGACAGGAATTATGAGGAGCCAGGCTTGGGAAATATTTTTGAGGCAGGCAGGATAGAGGATGATGTTGAAGAGATAGTTGGTGGATTTTCGCAGGACTGTGATTTCAATCATACTCCAGCTCAATCTCCTGAGGTTGCTAGTGAGATGGAGATTCTACCACTAAGAAGAGCACGTAACCGGTCGAGCTCTTTGGGTACTATTCAGGATGGTGATGATATCTCTCCGATATCAGGAAGGAGAAAAAGATTGAAGGTTGCTCAAGGGAGTTTGGCGGCAGTTATGAAGGAGGTTGTTGATGAAGCTGCTTTGCAAAGAACACAAGGCGCAGTATCTAAGCAAGAGCGTGCAATTAAGGTTCTGCAAGAGAACTATGAGGATAAGTTAGATGATGATGATATGGTAAAAGCAGCAATGGTATTAGAGGTTTATGAAAAGGCTTGTGTATTTACTGCATTTACAGGAGGGAGACTTAGAGATGCTTGGCTAAAAAAGGAAATAGAGAGGTCTATACTTTTTTAATGCATGTTTTTATTTAGTAGATATCAATTGATATCAATTACTTAACTCAGATGTCCCTTAATTTGACAGTGCAATATATGTCTACTCTCTGAATGGGGAGATTTTTTTTTATCCTGTAACATTAATTACCTACAAGATATGTCACGTAGTCTCTCCACATCTCTGTTGCAATTCTCTCCCGCAGGACACACATTTCATCATTACTCTCATTCTCCTCTTGGTTGGGACAGCTGTCTTCTTCTTCATTGTCTAAAGAAGTTCCTGCCTTGTTGAAAGTACTACCTTGCTGTGTAGTTTGCTCTCTTTCCCCTAATTCTCTTTGAACTTAAAAATATATTCCAATAAATTTAGATGGAAATTTAGCTCATACCTTCACTTGACAATTCTACCAAATCTAATCCTAGCATAATGCTTCTACTAGCAGTATTTTTGATAACAAAGTTATGTAGTCCAGTTAGAGCAAGAACAAGCTTAACTTGTACCTGAAGTGAGTACTGAGGAGGAGAGCGAAGAATTGCGAATTGGCGTTTTAGTACTCCAATAACTCTCTCAATCACATTTCATAATTGAGAGTGCCTTAAATTGAATAATTCTTCCTTGTTCTCTGGCCTACAGTTTATCAGATTCAGCTTAGTTAATATTTGCCTATAGTAACATATGACATGATAGCAAATAATTTATTTATCTAATACACAGGGTAGACTTACTTGTTTCTAGACTGGTATTGTTCCCTTAAATGGTAACGAACACCACGATATGGAGTCAAATATCCCTTCTTCGAAGCATATCCTGCATCAGCAAGATAATACTTTCCATCAGGAATATCAAACCCCTTCACTACAGCATCACCCAAAACTCTTCCATCATGTGCAGAACCTTCCCACCCTGGCAGAACATAGGTGAAGATCATATCAAAGCTACAGGCGAGAAGTACATTTTGGGAAATGTACCCCTTCCTATTCCGAAATGGAGCACTAAGTGTAGCTGGTACATGAGCAGGAACTTGAGTACCGTCGAGAGCCCCAATTGCATCTTTGAAGTAGGGAAAGAATTTGGGATTTCGTTCAACTTCCCATGGACAATTGGTTTTTGCTGGCTGAACTATCGCTTTCTCCAACTCAATCATGGCCTCTAGAACCAGATGAAAATGCCTAATTTGTAAATTGATTAGTATATACTAAAATATTCAATAATATCTTAAACCTGCAATCTTGATTGGTTAATACTACCTACTGACTGTCTCACCGCTATGCTGAAAACGCTCCTGCACATCGCGATTGGATGCTCCCCGTACTACTGTCCATAAAAACATTCCCACCTGCTCCTGAATCTTAATCTCACTTGTCTCCCTCAGACCACCCTTTTCAGCCAACCATTCACATAGCTTCAAGAAACAATCCCTGGAGATTCTGAAAACCTCAGCAAAGCGTCGCTTATTTGTTCTCTCGTCTAGTAGCTCATCCATATAATCCCTGCCACTGAGTACTGAGTTCTGGCAAGTATGCTTTTCAAATCGACTACCGACTTCCTCCACTACAGCTGCTGTGAGCTGGAGTAACAATTCGGCATTCAGGATTAAATTCTGAGAATCTTGCTGCTCTGATTGCATCGAAGTTTCTGTAGGATTCATTGAACTATCCAATAGTTCACTTTATAAATCGCTATTGAACTTATTAGAACATTTACTTAAATCATATAGAAAAATTTATTTGAATTATGATCATTCTCATAATACTTGTATTAGTCATATCATTGCTTTTTTTATTCTTTTTTATCTTTCTATTATACCCTAATGCCCTACATATCTTACTAAAAAAATGCCATAAAAAAAACAAGGCTAAATTTAAAAAAATGCCATTTTAATATGCATGCCAAACACGCCTCCCTTTTTTTTAAAATTTATGACAGAAAAATGGCATAAAAGTCAGAAAAATGGCATTTCTCTGGCGTGCCAAACAGGGCCTAAGTCAGGTGCGCAACTCCCGTCACCTGAGTGAAACCCATAACTCATACATTGAGTCATGTGCGAAAGTCATAATATCGTGTGACTCACAACTGTGAGTCACCAACAGGTAAATATAATAACCTATGGCCTACTAGTATACATCATGTGAAATCCCAACATACCTATAGCTCGGAATTCCGAGCTATGTAAAATCTGTCCTGCTTACTCACAGTTTGTGACATTGAATGAGATTGTGCGCAGAGCTAGAGAATATGTAGTAGTAAATAAAGAACTGGTTGTAATGATGTGCAACATGGACCTTGGTCAGAGCTGGCATTATCTTAGAGACAAGAGAAGATATAGATATTGCAATGGAAGCCTGGGCATTAAAACTTTCATTTGAGGCTGTATAAGTTAAAACCTGATTATTGGGCTTTTTTGAAAAGTGCAGGAAAATGTATTGTATATTTATGAAATCTACACTTTTTTGGACATAAAACATACTACAGAGGTCATCTGCAGTTCTAAAATATTTTCTGCGCTATGATATACCTACTTTACATAACTAGCTAAGTAGTTAAGCAAAAATAAATGTTTTGTAGTTGAGGCCAGATAATCAGGTTTTAACTTATACAGGCTCATTTTGCCATCAGAAACATAATACTATAGATACAAACATACCAACTAGAAGTAAATATAGAGGAAACAAGAATAAGAACTGAGAGGTGGCTGTCAGAAATGAGGAATTCTGGGCCTGAGAATTAAATTACTAGTTAACGGATTGCAGTAATGGTGACTGGAAACTAGCAATCAGGAAAGGAGTAAGAACAGAGCATCAGGATGTGGAGAAAGCGTGATCTCACAGTTGGGCTCAGGTCACAGCATCAGGACGATACTAAGATTGGATCATAAACTGAACACAATCTGGATATTTGGATAGACACCACCTACTTGGAGATAGAGGAAATCAACAGGGTGAAAGGGAAGACACAGATGATGCAGGAAGGCAGTGCATTGTAGTAGTGGACCCAAGAGATGCAGGGGATGCAGGCGATACAGGTGATGCAGGTAACAAGCACACTGCCTCAGGATGTAAGATGTGCAGATCTGATGCAGAATGATTTTTTGCTGATGCAGTTGATAACGGGTGATGGAAAACAAATAATAGAGGATGATTTGTTGATGAAAAGTCTGTAAAAGGGGCTGGGGAAGCAGTAAGAATTGGTTGTTGACCAATAAGGTGGAGGCTTAGTGAAAAATTTGGTGAGGTTTTTTCTTTCGCTGTGGTTGTAATGGCAACAGAGTCGGTTCAGTTGTGTTGTTTTGCAGGAAGTTATGGTACACATCTCACAAGTGCTGTACCATCGCTCTCTAACCTCTAATCCCTGCCCGGTCATGTACAAGTACCATGAATTCATGATCTACCCTTGTACCTGTATGATACAGTGCTGCCAAGTGCGGCAATTCGAAGTACCGTTCTCGAGTACCACACTCTACACGCAGCCGGACAAGTCGCCAGAGCCATGAGTCCGCCAAAAATATGGCGGGAAGGAGGAAAGGAATTTTTAAGGCTAGATGCCCCAACAAGAAGTCGGTGGAGGGAGGCTGCCGTCACGGAAGGCCCGGTACCAAATGATATGATATGAGCCATAGTCTACCGTGCCGTGATTTGACTGTTCGTATGTACTAGTACAGTACTCGAGTAAATTTACGTAGACCGGGAACTCGTCCATGTGATATTAATTTAAGGCCTCGAGGAAATGCTCGAGTAACTTACTCGTAGGTGAAAAAAAAAAAGGAAAAAAAGAAAAAAGAGTGCAGAACTAGAACCGATTACTACTGTACCGGTACATCAGGAGTACCATATTTGAGTGTCGTATATTACTCGAGTATGTATTATCCAGCAAAGTGACGCCACCGGCAATAGTAACCTTCTCGCCCCCCACCTCCTACCAAAGGCAAGCGGCATCCTATGATCCTGAGACCCGGACCCGTCGAGTTGTCGTGCCATAGACTACAGTCTATTATATAAATCCGGTAGCTATACTTGTACTACTACAAGTAGTACCCTGTGAGTAGATTATGATACAAGTACTGGTACGAGTCCAGTACGGTAACTCGGGTTACTGGTACCCGCTAGTACGGTACGGTGCGAGTATGATATCATACCACAGTTCCGCGCGAAGCCAACCATCTCAACCACTCGTAGCTATCATAGCTAACTTATCCTGCCCAAACCTGCACAACCCGCCTGCACAACCCGCCCACGTCAAAATCCCCCGCGCCGCCCCAATAACTCGCAGACTACTCGAGTAAACCATCCAACGGTGGAACGGCCTGCCATCGTGCCTTCCCACTTGGGCACGCACGATAACGTCAGGCGGGCAGGCGGATAGTCAAGACACGAGTACTCGTACAGTACTCGAGTAGATTTTGGTACTGTACTGTACTTTACGAGGTACATGAGGGGGGAGGTTCAGATAGAGATTGCTCGAGTGTAGTATCTATTCTACTCGAGTACTCGTGCTGTTGTCCTTAATTATTATTCGGAGCTTCGCGGGGAAAATAGCTCCCTCACTCTCCACTCCCATCCATCCATCGACGCTACGATAGCATGGAAGTATCTTGGTTTGAACACCCATCCGCGCCGCCTTTCTGCGGGATTTCGTCATCTCGCACCATAGGGAGGCGCCCTGCGAGAGATATGCGGGCGGAGGGGATCGCGCCTGCATCTAGTTCGGACTTGACTTGACCAATCCCAACATGCTTCGCAATAGGGTAGAAAAGAGGCATCGAGATACGCTTAGGATATTTGCGTTATAGTCACTATGGGAAAGTAGTGATTTTTGTGCGGTACAATCGAAGGGGAAAATAGTGGGATCGGACATATACCATAAAAAGGCTGGCCGCTAGCTCCAAGATATCAAAAGTAGTAGGTAAGGGAGAAATAACCGGGGGAGTGAAAGAGAGAGGAAAAAAGTTAAAATAAAATTAGAATTAAGCACAAAGGTATTACGGACAAACTCAAATCGAGCGCAGATAGACTCCTCCCTACGATTCTTCATGGTAACGCCATCCTTCTGGCATTCATTCATCACCGTGGAGTGGGGAAAAGTGAGGGGCGGGACAGTTTAAACGACCGGGGCGGGCCGCGAGTGGCTGGTAGCATAATTCTCGTCGGGGGGCCTATTAAGAGTGTACTCGCCCGTCCTGCGGTTGCCAACGCTATCGTACTGGCCATCAGCCAACTTATCGCCGAGTCCAGTGTTACCCGTATCGGTACCAATGCCATGGTGATCGTTGGCATGGTATCCACTGTCCCGGGAAGCGCCACCAGCGGCAGTAGCATCACGGCCCGGAGGAGCGCGGCGATGGGCATAGGGCGAGTTGCGGGTGATCTGCTGAGGTTCCGGGAGGTTTGACGTCGGGCTAGCTGAGCCGATGGTAAAAACATCGCTACCCCACCCATCCCCGCGTTTGGACAGATCCTTGTACTCAGCGGCCTTGGCCGAGATGCCACCGGGGAGAGAAATGTTTTTGAACATGGAGTCGTCCTGGGTGACGGCCACGTTGGCGTGCTTGTCGGCAACCTTGGCCTCGGCCTTCTTCTTACGGTTGGCTAATTCCCTCTGGGCAGCCTGGTAGTAGCGGCTATAAATGTTCTGAAGGTGCTCTGGATCAGGGTTTTTCTTGATGTCACGCTCAATCTTCTGCTCCTCTTGGTGGATGGCATATGCCAATTGGTCAAGACGACCGAAGGCGTCCTGAATTTGCTTCTCGAGGATCCTTGTGACAGCAGGCTTCACGACGCCCATCAAGATAGGCTTGAAGAGAGCGAAGAGGACTTTGTGGTTCGATTTCTTCAATTTGATCTTGAGGGTGTTGACGTTGACATCCACCCTTTCAACCTTGAAGAATCGAGCACGGTCGAGCTTGCCGGGCGTTGCCAGCTGGAGCTTGAAATTAAACCCGTCGCCTCCAAGGAAGATGTCGGCGACCCCGGTATCGGTGATGGAAGGGAATCCCTGCTTCTTCTTGATATAGTAGCTGACATCTGTGTTGGATTTATATGAGCACGGGTTCATTCCGCATTGCTCGTGCACGATACAACTTACCTCTAATGTCACACTGGATTTGGGAAGCGGAGATCATGGCGGCATGGCTGTGCTTGCTGGAGACACTCTTGCGGCCGAATCTGAAGTAATTGTCGCTGCCAATCTCGAGGACATTAGGCATCAAGTTGTCGGATTCAATGATGAGGTTTTCCACAACGGCGTCAATCACCGGATCGGAATACTCAATTCTGGGGAATGGGATATAGCGAACGCTCTCAAAGAGCTCAGGAATGATGATTTGAGTGACGTCCTTGACAAGGTGTTTCTTGAATACGGGCTTGCCGTTTTCGTCGTTTCCAAGGTCATTGAACAGCTTCTGTATGGCCTGACGGAAGCGCTGATTGTCTGGGTCAGCTGCGAATTGCTCGCCCAAGAATCTGAATTCGTTTGCAACACGATCGGTATGATTGCGGTAGCGGTTGCGAAGCAAGAAATTACCGTGATCGTACAGGCGGTCGTATTGCTCATTAGACTCGTGACCCATGATATAGCCCTCTTCCTTGAGGCAGGTGCGGATGTAGTTGTTGACGGCACGGAACCAATCCTTGAGCTCCGGGTCATTGTCAGCATCACGGTAAATATCGTTTATGGAATCGATCAGGTCCCCCGTGCTGGTGCAGTTCGCGAAACGCTCAAGGATAACCTGTATTCGGTTAACTGGGGGGCCAAGTGGAAATGTTGGTGTATACCACAAACCTTCAAACTCTTCTCAGCGCTTTGGAGGTGGCTGTCCTGGTGGGCACTCTTGACAGCTCCGGTGCTCTCTTTTGCGATACCCTTGGTGTGGCCGGTGTAGATCTCGGCGAGTTTGAGCAATGCGTCGATAGCCTGCTGGTAGTCTTGATGGCATTGGATCTCGACAACCATCTTCTTCAGCCTGAAAATGACATGCTCGCGACGCTCCTGAGGCACCTTATTCTCCATGTAGTTGCTCGCGCGTTCCCTGTACTCACACAGCCTTTGCCCCTGCTCCTCCGGGACATTCTCCTCAGCCCTCTGGCGCAGCCCCTCTGCACCAGCACGAATTCCGCTGCTGGTATCCACACTGCGGGCGGTACCGTTTCGTTGGCCGCTTCTGGTTCGCGCAGCCGCGTCACGAGGGTCCCGGGAGCCATGTGGGTCGGCGGCCTGGGTGGCGTTTCCAGTAGCCTCCCGAACTTCACTGCGAGACACTGGCTTGTTCCGGGTGAACTGGTCGCGGACTTGGCTCTTCAGGTTTTCACGTGAGAGATTTGGGGCATCGTGCCATTGGTGATCAGGTGCTGGGCTATCAATCTGCCTCAACTGCTCCTCAGTGGGACTAATGTGAGAAGCAGATTTGGTAGCGGCATCGCTGGCAATGTCGCGGAGGAGGATAACAGCATCGTTGAGAAGCTTGCGGAACTCTCTGGACGACAAAGCTATTAGTAGCACTCCATCATGATATATCACTCGTTAGCTTACCCGTTGGTGATAATTAATTGACCCAGCGTTCTGAAACCGGTTTGTGCCTGCTCAGCGTCCCTGTTGGCCGTTTCTTTAGACGCCGGGGCACAGGGTATAGATGCTTGCGGCCCCCCCTTAGCACCAAGCTGAGTGGTATTCCAAATGAACTCCTGGAAAACCTGATCGTGATTCTTGACCAAGATAAGACGCTTGGCCTCATCAACAACTGTTCGGAAGTCCTCGAGAATGGCCTTGCCTTCTTCCGAGAGGTTCTCATTGGGGGACCTCAGCTTCCTGTGGTTTGCAAGGGAGGAAAGTGCGACGTCGATTTGTTCATTTGACGGTAGTCTGCCATTCTGGAAACCTGTTGCAAAGTTGGCACATTTGAAAACCGGGGCTACTTGTGCGAACCAAAAGACAACATACCACTGTAGATTCCGTAAAGCCGAAGTTTGTTCTCGACATCTCTGTCCCTTTGTTCAGGGTCAACAGGTCTGCTCACGTTGGAATTCATGATTGGTTGATTAGTGGTGAGTGATATTTGATGGGTTAGCAATGCGGGCAGGTGGTAAAGAAGTATCAGGGTTCAACAGACCCGTAGTGCAAGGTATGCTGATAGCTTGGCTGTAGGGGGTATCGTCTAGAGGCTCAACATCCTTTGGCCTTTTGTGGTTGTCTGGATCGGAGTGTGAGATGATTCCCAAGGTGGGTCATGGGCTTAAGTACTCGAACTGGGGGGGGGGGGGGGGATGAGGGAAAACCAGCAATGTGGACAAGATAAAGGAGGAAACAGGGCACCAGGTGGGAGGGGGGGGGGGTTGTGTGTGAAATGACAGACTTGAGGGTGGGGCGGGGGAATTTGCGGGGGACTGAAGTATTTCAGCTAGCATATGCAGTACGAGTACGGTACGGGGGTTCAAGTACTCGAGTAGAAGGGGCGGGTAGTCTACTCGAGTATTGTGGTTCCCTGCACCCATTGCGGCTGCATTTGAGTGATCGAGTGACGACGGGGCAGGAGTCGAGGCATTCGGGGACCGCGTCCGCCACTGGATGCCGTCATCGTTGCGCATTCAGCGTCAGAGGATATCGGAACCATGATGAGTGTGGCGCGCTTCAGCAGGTTAAGGTAAAGCAGGTGTTTGACTAGTTGATCGCCCTGCCGTGAGCCATGCCAGTAAGAACACTCGTACCGTATTTGTATCATACGGCCGTCAAGTGTACGAGATATGACTAGGGTGTTAATGCGAGCCGCATCCGTACAAGCCAAATATTAAGGGGAAAACTTATTAACTTACTTGTTCTCGAGTACTCGTACCGTAAGAGCATTTGCAGGATTGGTTTCCGGGCACGGCTCTCTGATGGCTGGGACATTGCATGTTCTACTCGAGTAGACCAACAGCTTACTCGTACAATGCCGGTGAGATTACGACACCGCCAATTCGGTACTCGTACTCGTACTGTGCAGTGTGGCTCTGTGCGGTACGTGTGCTCCTACGAGTAGACCGCTGGGGGTACCGCTCTTGTGTACCGGCAATTTGGTTTCATATGGCAGGCAGTAGGAATTGGGCTTGATTGATGAAAGTAAGCGAAAGGTGTTCTACCGGTAGTGCTGGTAATACAGGGAAATTAAGGTCACGAAGGCGACCATCTGCCTGCCTTCTGCTGGTTCAATACCTTGCTAGCGAGCGGGGGAGGCTTGTTCGCGGGAAGATCATAAAAACGGTGACGCACACAGGACATCACGGTGTAACCGTGCAGTGCGAGCCCTGTACTCGTACTAGTACGGACAGGTCCCAGCAAGTGTGGCCGAGAGATATAAGTTAACTTATTCGTCATTTCATAAGCGGGCGTAGAGTGGCAAGTTGCAACGACCAAGAAACTCAATGCCATATATTTAAAAATCTTGGGGTGCGTCTGACTATCCGCGAGTTCAGAAAATGGTAAACCCGCAAAACACATGTTGTACGAGTACTACTCGTGCCAGGGTTGCAGTGTGGGCACTTTGCGGGGGTGCCCGGCGGCTCAATGTTACTGGACGTGGGTCAGAGTGCCTGGATTGGAATCCCTTCATCTGTATTCAGGACCTCGCGCCGGATGCCTCCTATCATAGCATGTCTTGTCACTGAAAGTGAAATAACGTACCCGATGGCATAGCGAAAAATAGGGTACAACGAAAAATTGTTGAAAAACAGCGAAAACTGGCTACTGAATAGGTGGAGGAGGTAGATTCAAACTTGGTTTCACATAATTCTTGTAGTAGTACTCGTAGCTCTTCCTAACTGCTTGTCATTGGCTTGATTTGGGTTTTCATTTTACTAAACCGTTTCATTGGTATCGCATGGCGGGATTTTTCTTTGTACAGTACCATATTTTTCACCATCATCGGATACTGTACTCGCGCGTCTTTGCCAAGAAGAGCTCCACTTCCAGATGGCTCGGCGCTTTCGAGCTAAAAGTGGTTGGTGATGACAGCAACGACAAGTAGGTGTTTTCAAAGTTAAAAACATGATTTTTCAGTAATGAGTAAATGCCGGATGTTGCATAAGCTTACTTTCTGGTATCAGCCAATAGCATCCTCATGTTCCAGGTATCATATTTGAGAGTCCTGGGGTAACCAAAGGCAAAGTACAAAGGGTATATTAAATCTTACAGAGATGGTAGGAAACCTGTTTCTGTCAACAAAATATCAAAAGTTGGAAGATTTTTATTTGTGAGAGTACATAATTATTCCTGGGATATGCTATAGTATTTTTAAAAATTGGTTTTTGATTTTTTTAAATTTTTCTTTTTATATTGTATCTGATTTTAAAGGTTTAGTAAAGCTATGTAAAACTAGGACCAGTATCGGTTACCAACCTCCAAACCTCTATCTCTACCCTATAGTATGGTAGAATTAAGTAGTAGTAAATTAACCATTTCTGTGCATGCCAAGTTTATATAAAACAGCAAAGTAAGCTAAATTTTCACTACCTTTTTAACTTTGAAAACCCCTGGTAGGAGTGTTCAAAGTTGAAAAGATGATTTTTCAGTAACGAGTCACTACTGGAAGGTGCATTAGGTTACTTTATAGTATTAGCCAATCAGATATATATATTTCATATCGCATATTTGAATGCTCTAGGATAACTGAAGGTAGAGGGTAGAAGTTTTCACAGATCTTATCAATACTGAAGATTTTTAGTATTTGTTAATGAAATGCCCAAGTGAAGAGATTTTTGTCAGAAAAAGCAGATAATTATTTTTAAAGAGTACAATAATATTTTAAGATTTTTCTCTAATTTTTTAAAAATTCCTTTCCAGATCATGTATCATATTGAAGTTCTAGTAGAGTTTAGTTAATACAAATTTTAGAGTAGATATAGACCTCCTAACCTCTATATCTAAACCAAAAAAAAAGTATGGTATAATAAAGTAAAATGAGAGCAAAGTAACCGTTCTTGTATCTGCTAAGCTTATATGAAATGGCAAGGTAAGCTACTTTTTTTCAAGTTTTTCAAGTTTAAAAACCAATAGTAGTAATGTGTTTGATCAATAAATACCTATATTACACTATACTAGTACAACTATTCCATAATACCTCTAGGAAAGAGTTTTTCTATACAATTAAGAGGAGCTATTCTCAGGATGAGGGAATGAGTTGATATGATATACAAGACTATTGAGAACTTGCCTGAAAAAACAGTTTCTGTAGCTATAATAAAAGAAGTTTGCAGTTGAGTAAAGGTATTTCTGATAACAGCTGTAATTGTAGTAATAGCAACTAATAGGTAAATACAGACCCACACAGGCCATAGCCCAACCTTATTAGAGCTACTCAACTATCTTGAGAATAAGGAGACAATAGAGTCTACTATTTTACAAAAGATTGCAAAAGGATGTGCTAAATTGAAAATTCCACAATAGTTGGCTTTTCAAAATCAAGAGCATTGACAAAAAAAGATATCCTAAGATTACTAAAGAGGCAAGAGTGAATATTTCACATTCTTAGGTATATAAAATGATAAAGGAAGATGATGATCTCAGACATTTTAATACTTACTACCAACCAATATTAAATTAATAGGATTGAACTACCTATGTTTAGCTTGTGAATTAGACTTTGGAAATACCAATTAAGGCATTTGCATTTACCAATAAATCTTGAATCAAGACTAGTGGTACCTGGAGTTGACAGAAAATTATGTACCTGGATGGCTCAAATTCCTATAACTATGTTGTTCTATATGACAAGCTTCTTTTTACTGGAATACTTTCTGCATATATAACTTTAGGACAAAAAGATACTTTGTATATATGGGAAAAAAAAAACAAAAGAGGAAAGGAAAGAAAACACAGAAGAGTTGAAGGGTAAAAATGAAGCTAAGCTTTGAAAAATAGCAGAAAACCAAAAGTAGGCAATACAGCTAAGAATAGATGAGTACAATTTTCTTCAAGTAAGAAAGAAACAACTGAATTAAGAAGTATAATAAAAAAAGATATCTAGGAGAGTTACAAAAGATGCATTAAAAATCTGAATAGGTAGGTGTTTAGGAAGAAGATTGCCAAGTGAAGTTCTGGGAAGGGGTTTAATTGATTCATATATCGTTTCGAAGTAGGTTTTATATCTATTAGTCTATCTAGTTTTTAATACTTTAAGCCAGGAGTATCATATACAAGTTTGATTGATTGAAGACAATGCTAGCAACTATACTTAAGTAGCTCAACTTGATACATAAGAGGTAGAAACCTGTGAGATATATCATGTACTAAATAAGGACTCACTAGTCTATGGTCTCCCTGTCTGGCTAGTAAACACTCATGATATCAATAAAATTGAATACATTTGATATATACTTAAGGACTACTAGTATATTACTAAGTATCCTAGACTCTAAGGAGTACAAGCAGAAGGAAGTTGAGTGGTATAAGAATATCATAAGAGTGAAATAGTAGGTTATTCAGAAAGTGGCTATTGATAGCCTTTGTCATACCTTTTATTCAAATCTGCATCAACTGAGGAAAGATAGAAGAAGAAACAATTTTAATACCTAAAGTTATTTCCAACTCTATTCAAACAATATTGTTATGTAAGTCCAGATTGTTGATGTCTTAGAAGACAGAATCTACCTCAAAAGTGCTAAGCTATCAGATAGCAGAGCTATTCTTAATAAAGATGTACAAGTATATTTGTAGTGCAATAGTTAGTACCTACTAACATTAATAGATGCTACTCCAAGTTCATCTCTGATATGAAACAACTCTAGACATCTACAAACCTACATGAACAACTGTATTACTGTACTCAAACCCAAGAAATTAGTAAGTTTCAATATTTTCTCATAGTTTCTATATACAGAGGTCTAATCATCTAAAAAAAAATATTAATTGTTAGATTTATTTATAAACCTTTCATAAATACAGGACCTTGTAACTATTTAAGGTCAAATACAAATCCGGAATGTTATATGAATACTATACTCAATTAAATGGTTAGAGGGTATTGCAATAAAGATACTATTCTGAATGAACTTGATCAATGTCTGGGAATGCAACCTTTAAGTGCATTATTCCTAGATAAGTCAAAGGAGGAGATTGTTCAGGAGGAGACAGATAATAGTGAAAATGATATCCTTATAAGTGGTACTAAGAAGGAAGAAGAGGAAAATAATAATAATTAGGATCTGGAGTTGATAGA